GAATATAATAATTTACATATGTATTTATAAATGTCTTCAATACATTTATCTTATCAAGTTATTTAATAATATCGAAAAAATGAGTAGATAAGACTTTTTCTAAAAAAAGTAACCATTAATTAATCCATCAGTATGCATTAATAATAAATTAAGTATCTCTCTTTTTCAATTACTCACTTCAAGAAATGTTTTCTTTCATGTTGATAATCGAACTTGTCATTCTAACGGAAGATCATATCTTTTCCGAGAAAAGCACATACATACATATATATATATATATATATATATATACTCAAACGTATTGCTCTTATTATTAGTATTAATAACACTAAACGATTGATCAAACAAAAAATGATGTTTGTATGGAAAATTCTTCGATTCATCTATATAGAAACATGCTTGCTACAAATGTAAATAAAACGTAAGTATAGATAATTTAATTTTTTTGTATATGAAAAAAAACAAATACGAATTTACTATTGAAACGAATGATTCAATTATTTTCCCTTGTTTTTAAATACGAACTATCTTATATCAATTTTAAAAATGTAATTATAGAAAAAAAACATTTTTACTAGAAAAACTCATTATTTTATCGCGTTGATTTTCTAACAAATTTCGATAAAAAAAGAAATCTCATTTAATATAGTGCTGCTATCAAACATACGTCTATATGTTAATTAATTGATCAACTATATATATAGTATAATCTATTATTAATAAGAATCTCTTACTGTTTTTTATTTTATTGCAAATATTCCAGATCAGTTATTCAATAAAGTTTAGTAAAAACTTTTAGTATTATAATCAATAACATAGAATCATAATTAGATATTTTGAAGTCAACCATATCCTGTAGATTCTGATCTTTTACATACATATGTATATCATAATTGGCCATCTTGTCATATTCTAAGTTCTAAAATGTCAAGTAGTAATGATAACTTTAGACGAACTATTAAATACGTAGGAAGTGATTTAATTTCCTATGTTGATTACAAATGAATGTCATTTGATCTAAATCATTATTAATAATAAACATTTTAGCGTTTTGGTTTAATTTTCATCTAAATATCAAAGCATATTTCCAGTTTTATATTACACATTAGGATAGAATAAACATGCTTTACTCTAATTGCTTGACATATGGCTAATACAAAAAAACATCGATAGTTATTGAAGTTCGCAATATATTATTAAGTAGAATTATACTTACTGGAAAAAAAATTGATAAAATTTTCTTAATGGTTAGATCTCAGGAACACTTTAGATTTTTTTTTTCTTCTACTCTATTGACTAATCTGATCTATAATCACTCAAGAAAAGCCAACGGATGTAAAGACAATAATGAAAGTTCAATATTAGGCAAGAATAAAACAAAAAAAGAAAAGGCAAGAGTTGAGAGCACAATTAAGAGACAAAAAAAAATTCTATGTCATTTTCTCTTTTTTTTGCTCGATGCGCTTCAACGCTAACAACATCAACATCAGTGGATCTATTTTTTTGCTCTTATACACTGACGATTGTAGAGAGTATTAAGACAATGGGTTTTTCTTTATGGTTGTCTTGCTCTTTCGATTTTTCTATTCCCTTTCTCTATGATATCTCATTAACAAGATAGAGAAAATGTGTGTATGTCACACAAGTCTACATACATAATGGTCACAAGTGCAATAAAGTGACGTATGTTTGAGATTTCCATTTTTATTTACTTATCGCACATTGAACAATGAATAAAATAGACACACAAAGCGCATGGGAACTCCAGTAACTATACAAATTGCTGCATCTTCTAATTATAATGATTAGTAAGTGTTATAAATAAATTATTAATCAATATATAGATCTTCATCTCGTCTGACATAAAATAAATATCGAATGAGTACGTGATCATGTATAAACATTTCTTTATATACGTACAAGCTGAAGAAATGTTTATGGAAATCTGATTCTGTAATATTAACTTGATAATGGGTGCTTTATTTATTGATAGAAAACATACTAGAGAATTTTTTATTTATTTGATTGACTGCCGTTTTTCTTTCTTTTTTTTTGAAAAGAATAAAATAAGATTATATGTTAACTTATTTTTTAAGATATCTATACAATGACAATATATATATATGAATCAAGATAGATTATATTTTTTTCTATTATATTCAATGAACGAACTATAATTCCTGAAGAAGAAATTTTCATACATTGAGCATAAAAGTATTGAAATAATTAACCGGAAATTGTATTAAAGAAAATAGCTTAATAGTGTTCTCTTTTTTTGCGTTTTTCAATAATCATCTATGATAATCATCTTTTCTACATGAATACATAAAATAAAACCTTTTCAATACATTAATATAGTTTTTTGGAAATTTGAAAAACAATATCGTTTTTCTTTGTCATATGGTAAAAAAATATGTTGTTTTGAAAGAAGAATAAAACTATTATTATTATAAATATATAAGAATAATAGTTGTAATTATTCTATTTAACTTTTATAGTGATAATCAAACGACTCACCGTCGTCAATTAAATGAACGTCGTGATCATGAAAGTGCATTGTTATATAATTATGATGGTAGTAGTCAACATACAAAATATGGTACTAGTCCATTATTGTAAGTTTTCCGTTTTTTACAAAAAAAAAACTTGTTCTTATCATATAATTTTATAATAAATATAACAACACTTATTTAAAAGTGAAGAAGCACTTGATTGAAATGAAAAATAATTTCTCTTATTTACAAATGAATAATTTAAAAAAAAAGAGAGTTATATCTTCTCCAAGGTCAATATTTATTTGTAAAAGAATTATTCAATTACACCATTGAATTAGTCATTTTTTTGTCTTTGTCATTTCTTCTTCTTTTCTGCTGTCGTTATTTTATTAGACTTGGCTTTTATGCCGTCAATGTTGCTACTATTCTTCTTTTTTTTTTTATTAACATAGTTCATATATATAAGCATATATATATATGCTTTAGAAAAGAACGATTAAAAAGAAAGAAAGAAAAAAAAAAGAAAGAAAGAACTAATGTGCTTTTTTATTAAGCTTGCAGCACTAGCTTGTTAGTAATATACAAGAATAATATGCGTAATGCTAATACCCGCAGCGTCGGTTCGTCGTCGCGCTCAATGAAATTTTCGACACGACACGCGTGTGCTTTTTCCCCTCATTCCAACTGTGTGCTGTGGTGATGCTAATAGTAGCAGACGCATTGTATAATAAAATGCGAGAAAGCACAAGAAAAAAAAGAAGAAGAAAAAAAAAGAAAAACAAAGAGAGAGGGAGAAAGAGAGAGAGAGAGATAGGGAGAAGGAGAGATAGGAGGAAGGAGGGAGGGAGAAAGAGTATGTGTGTGAACGCATGTTCATCATCAGACGCGAATGCTTTTACGCTGCCTTTCTTTCTCCTTGACTATGCAATGAGAAAAGACGAGACCCATGCGACCGACAACGAAGGAAAATGGAGAGTATAGTAGTGACTATTGTCGTTTCCAGAAGCAAGCAAGACAAAGCGCTATTCATTGTATGTGTATGTGTGTATTTATGAGTATGGTATTTGAAATGATCAAAAATACCAACAAGTGATTGGCATCTACACATTAACTAATATTTTTATATACATATTATTACACGTATAAAATTATACCTTAAAAAAATCCTTTCAAAATGACGATGGCAACGGTTTGGCAACATGTTTCATTGAATGATCATCCAATGTAAGTAGATATACAATAGTCTATTTAAAATCTTTTCATTATTTGACTACATCGAGCAGAAACAATTAGATATTTTGCTTATATATATATTAGTTAATTCGTTACTTATCTGTCAGACAGTTTATTCATCCATCCTATTGAAGAGATTTGTAGGCCTATTTTTCTATATTCTTGTTATTACAAACGTACGATTTTCTGTCGTTCGATTCATGTTCGCGTGTTATTATTTTTCATATTTATTAGAAAGAAAAGAATTAAATATAAAGACAAAAAAGCTATATGACTTCACATAAATTACAATCCTTCGTGTCTTATATCGATCTACATATTGTTAAAAGTAAAACTAAAGAAAAATATGGCAATAACAGCCGCAGTTTCAGTTTGGCAGCCTACAATATATGCTAGTCTTCTTTTCGGAGATGTCTCGTAAGTGCACTTATTATGATCTAAAAAGTCGAATATGATTTTGTTCAATTAACAATAATGAATCGAATATGGTGAAAACTTTTTTTTGTCTAACGGAAGTTTAATCATTCGTATTCTAATATTGTGTACCAAGACAAATAAATCTAAAATCTCTCTTCAAGAAATTTACTTATTACATATATGTCTTATTCAATATTTTACATTAGATGTATTTTAATAAAAAAATGAATAGAAATTCATGAGAATACAAAATAGAAAACTAACTTCTTCCTTCCACATACTTGAAATAGACAGATACTCAGTTCCTTTTTTTTTGTAGAATAGTTTTACTTAGAAAAATTAGAAGGTAACAAGGCGATACTATAAGACAATACAACTATGCGCACTATTTGAAATTAAAAACAGTAGACAAAGGTCAATGGTAATAACAGATGAATTAAGTCGATAATAGACACAATGTTATGGTAGTATTTCAGATAATTATCGTTCCTTATTTTTTCGATGTTTTGACGTCATCGATTGATACGCGTACAAATGCGCAGGCTTAAGATCAGTAACATCTCGTATTACACGTCGTTTGCAACTTTTCAGTATCCTTCTCTTATTCTTTCTCTAGATTTCTGTTTCTCTGTTCTTATTAATGTTTGTTTTTGTTGTTCTTATGTATATATGGTTCCATTAGCGAACGTCATCTTCATATTCTCTTTTTGCTTATTTACTTGCCTAATCTTTCTGTGTTCTTCTGGTGACTATTGATATCAGTTTTCTTCTCGAGAACGAGCCTTATTAGAATACATCAATCAATATAATATACATATATATATATATATAACTGAGAACAGTTACTATTTAGTCATGATTCTTACTGATCGTTCACTGTAAGTCTTGATCTTCTTATTTGTATACTATGGATATTTATTTCCATTTTGTTATTTCCTAATATAAAGTTGTCATGAAACAACACGTCGACGTGGTGTTGAATTTGGTAATGATCAGTCATCCAGTTCCGCTCGAACAACAGGTCGGCATATGTCTATTGTACAGCACGGTCCTATACATGATCTATTAAATAGTATTGGTGCTCCTTCAACGTTCGATGGTGATCCACCTCGAACGTCTGTTGTTAATTGTCTTGTACCCAATAGTTTAGCCGTTGCTGCCAGGTGAGATAATGTTTGAAAAGAAGAAGAAAAAAAAGTATGTTTACAAATGATGACTTGTGATTTGATTAATATTAGACAATGTATTTCGTGTTATTATTAATGAAGTTACTAACATTGATTATCTTTGAAGTAAAATGACAAAGATTAATGTGTATTGTTAATATATATGAAAAAAGATAAATTAATATTAAGACAACGCTTAGTTTGATTGATTTTTCAAAAAAGAAAAAGTTTTCTTCTCTTGAAATATTCCTTCTTTTTTTTATCTCTATTAATAAATAGATAATAGGATCAAATTGTTGTTTTTTTATAATTTTATGCACAGATGTGCATAGGGAAATCTTCTTGACTAATTCGAAGAAAATTCCCAAATGAATTCGAATATCTATTGTTTTAAATTTTAAATTATATCTGTTAAAAAAATAAAAATAGACTAGTCTTATTTATAAAGATATTATCATTTAGATGATTAAGAAAAGTAAATCACTATTATTACAGATCTAGAACACAAAAAAAACAAGTTTATTTATAGAATTAAGACATATAAATATATTTTCAAAATAATTGAGTAAGCAAACAAACCTTGAAGCTAATTATGAACGTTTTGATATTGTTGATTTAAGTTAGTAGATTGATTTATACAGGAAAGCTTGAATCTTGATTAGAATAAAAACTAATGACATAGATTTTTTTCTAGGTCAATAAACGTGCCAGTTATATAAATAATTATATGAAACAAAACTAAATAAATTCTTAGAATTTTTTACAACAACAACAATGACATACAAAAAAATATCTTCGTTTATTTTTAAAGAATCCATTAATAGTAAATGTTTTTTCTTCTTAAAATTTCTAAACAGCAGATATTTCCCATATAGAAATTTTTTTGTTGTGTTCTGTTTCATGACTTTCAAATAATATTCAGAATAGGAGGAGAAAAAAAATCATTTTCTTTTCTTTTGACATTCAACACAAAGACCTATTAATAAATGATATGCATCTGCATATTCTAGTCTAGATAATTATTATATAGCGATGGCATTGCGTATTCTTGACTTTATTTAAGAATAATAATTCCAATACATTCTTTCTTTCAATGAATATATGAATTCTGTTAGAATACTAAATTGAATAGTTGTAGATTAATTGATGGTAATCAATATTTGGACATTAAATAGACGCTAACAAAGGTCAAGAGATAATTAAGATGTACTTTTTTTTTACTGAAATGTTAAAATAAAAGATCTAGTTATTGAAAGAAGATACAATATATGCATTTGATTATTATCCTAGACATCCTACTATATTAATCTGGTCTCATATGTTCATTTTAACGAAGATTAATGGTAAAAATCATTCTCATTAGTATTCATATGAACTTTTCCAAGTTCCTGTGATCTATCAGGAACAAGTTTTTTTGATTCACGATTATTTGCAATCATTATTTTTAATTTATGATGAAATGAAATAAAATAAAAAAAAGCGTTATCAACATTTGTTCATCGATCTCGATGATTTATAATCTTTGATTAAATATTTTGTCATAAATAAATATTTTACTTTTTTTTCTCTCTAATATAATTTTATATAAAGGGATGAAAATAAAGTAATCTATGACTATTTCATAATTGTTGATAAAAAACAAAAGTATAGTTTATAGTTTTATTACATTTCTCTCCTGGGATAAATATACATGTGGTAAGATTTTTGAAATTGGTCACAGTAGTAAAGAAAAAAAGAAACCTTGCAATTGAAGCTTTCTATGTTGTACAGATGCGCATTAATATGTCCTTGTTTAACTAACGTTGTTGTCATCATTTGTCCTCTCTACGTCTTATCGGTAGGATTTATAGATGTGGAAATAATTGGAAAAGAGAGGAATAGATAGAAAGAGAAAGAGAGAGAGAGAGAGAGAAAGAAAAGATAAACGATATTCTAGTCTTCTTTTTTTTTTCTTGACATATCTCTTTTTCGTTACTGATACAACTAAATCTTAGTGTTACTATAATTATTGTTTTCATGTTGACGACATGCCTAATAGAAATCTCGTGCTTATCAATGATCAAGAACAAACTGCAAGAAGATACGTGAAGCTAATAGCTTGATTAACCTTTTCTTTATTCTATCTTTTCATCTTTTACAATTGTCAATCTCATCATCATCTTCATCATCAGCAGCACTGATAGACAAACTGAGTGACAGACACTGTTGATAGTTGTCTGTTGCTTTTCTTTCTTAAGCGCGTAGTTTTATGCATGCTACAACGAGGATACTGGCTGTGTTGGTGTTGCTCCAGGGAGCAAAATCATGACACATGTTGTTCTATAGTTTTGTTTGCCAATAGTAACTATCTCAAACAACAACTGCTCATGCTGTGAGTAATATATTTAAATTAGTTATATTTTTCTTACAAAAATTAAAAGAAAATAAACATATTAATATATCTTTATTATATATCTATAGGGCATTTTCTCGTCCATTGGATGAAGAGTTAACCCTTGAAGAACAATTAGAAGCATCAAAACATCCAGATTATGAATCAACTGAACGTGTTGTTATAAATGTATCTGGTTTAAAATTTGAAACACAATTACAAACATTAAATAATTTTCCACGTACATTACTTGGAAATCCATCTCGACGTGTTTTATATTTTGATCCATTACGTAATGAATATTTTTTTGATCGAAATCGACCAAGTTTTGATGCTATTCTTTATTATTATCAATCTGGTGGTCGACTTCGACGACCAAATCATGTCCCAATTGGTAAGAAAATAGAAAACAAGAATTTGTATAAAAAGAAAAACAAAAATCTTTTATTTAGATGTATTTACAGAAGAAATCAAATTTTTTGAATTAGGTGAAGATGCATTTAATAAATTTCGTGAAGATGAAGGTTTTATTAAAGAAGAAGAACGTATATTACCAAAACCAGAAGTTCAACGTAAAATCTGGCTTCTATTTGAATATCCCGAAACGTCTCAATGGGCACGTGTTATTGCTCTTATATCTGTCACTGTTATTCTTATGTCAATTGTCATATTTTGTCTTGGTAAGTAATAGATTATGTACTCATTTTTATTTGTTCTACTCAATAGTCTAAATGATTACATGTATATCAGCATGTAAAAACAGGAAATACTATAGAGAGACTTCAGTCATGCCAATGATATATAACCTATAATCCATAAATCACTTTGACATTTTGAAGTTTATTCTTTCGTATTAATGTATTACTCGTGTAGTAGAATAGAAAAAATAACCTTGAGTTTCATTTTGCGTTGTTAAATAAGCCTAAACTCTCGATTGATAAATATATATGGATAATAAGATAAACAATGTTTGATTTATTAGAACAGTTAAAGATAGTATATGTTTTATCGAGACTAATAGAGTCTTATATTAATCAATCTTGTAAGTTTTTGAATAAGAGATGAAGTCTCTCAATATATCTGACAATGAGTACTGATATTGATTTCATTTCTACATTCACATGAAATTCTCTACGTACTATCTATAGTAAAATGCCATAAAAGTTTTGAATATATTTTATCTGAGGAAAATGCTGAAACAGATAGGTAGGATAATAATATCCTGAATAGTGAACTTATTAAACCTGGAATATAATCTGAAACGACAATTATTTCTTATCTGATTCTATTTTTGTATTCTGTCGAAGAACAAGATATTTTTCTTCGATTTGGTGCAAAATATAAATCCATAGCTGATAAAAATTAACTTTTATTTATCACAATTTTATTTGTATTTTAGAAACTCTTCCTAAATTTAAACGCTATCGTGTACGACCAGCTGACAATACATCTTATGATTCATCTCGTTTAACAATCGAAGAAGATGATATACCTGAATTGACTGAACCATTTTTTATTATTGAAACATGTTGTATTGTATGGTTTTCCTTTGAACTTATTGTTCGTCTAATATCATGTCCATTGAAACTTGTCTTTCTTAAATCAATAATGAATATTATTGATATCGTTGCTATTATGCCGTATTTTATTACATTATTTACCATCTTAGCGGAAGAAAAAACGAAATCAAATCAAGCTATGTCATTAGCTATATTACGTGTTATACGTCTCGTACGCGTTTTTCGTATATTTAAACTATCGAGACATTCGAAAGGCCTACAAATTTTAGGTCAGACATTGCGTGCGAGTATGCAAGAATTAGCTCTATTAATATTTTTTCTATTTATTGGTGTTATATTATTTTCTTCGGCGGTTTATTTTGCTGAACAAAGTGAACCCGAATCATTTTTTAAATCTATACCTGATGCATTCTGGTGGGCAATGATTACTATGACAACTGTAAATAATATTCTTTTTCTTTTTTCTTGTTATTACTTAAATATTTGATTATTTTAGGTTGGTTATGGAGATATGAGACCAGTGGGTATATTTGGTAAAATTGTTGGTTCAATGTGTGCTATTGCCGGTGTACTTACAATTGCTTTACCTGTACCTGTTATTGTATCAAATTTTAATTATTTTTATCATCGAGATATTGATTCCGAAGAACAAAAGGATATAAAATATTCTAGTGGAACTTCTACCCCGCCACTTGTTGATATTACTACAGATCAATTTGCTTTAGCAATACCAACAAGCAATAGTAGTGGAAGAATAAAAGGAAAAAAATCAATATCATCAGGTGATGCATATTATCATTTAGATGAATCCGATGCCTTTCTTCATTCATATTCTTCACCTGAAGATCCAATATTTCGTTCACCAACTGCCAATCATAAAACAATCAGAACGTCACCAACACAACATTTAACACAAAGAAAAATTTCAACTACAATTAGTTCGAATATATATACATCGACTGAACCACTTAATGTTGAAACAGATGTATAGTAGAATTTCACTGACCCATATCCGTCCACCTGGTCTTGTTAGTCTAATTATCCTTGATTATTTATTTAATTGTCTTATATATACATATACATATATATTCATTTTGTTGTGTATGCATTTAATAACCGGTATAAAAACAAAATTGTAATGGAAGAATATATTAATTGATGTGTTCAGATAGAGAAGATAATTATGAATAGCAATTCGAATGACTGATTTCTAAATGTGGGGGAAAAGAAAACGTTTCTCTTTTTTTGTTCTGTTTGTGTTTTAAACGAAACCTTATTTGATAGAAAGAACAGAATTGTTTTGCCCAATGTTTCTTTTTTTGTAATTTCTTTTTTTTTTCTTTCGTGTAACAGATCTTAACTTTATGATTATTATTATTATTTTCTCATGTATATTTATGGACGTAATTTACACGTTTGTTCTTTGATAAAATTCAGAATAATTAAATGTTTTTCTCTAAGTTAAACGCATAGAAAATTGGATAATGTAAAAAACAATTCAAGTGAATTATGTTTATATACGCATAATTAGGATAACAATCTATATAAGAAAATGTATTCAACCATCATATACAAAATAGCTGTAGGAAACAATTTAGTTGTTCTTACATTACTATTCACGAACTTTGAATTGCACTGTTTTTGGCTATAAGAATAAGAGTAATACAAGCCAATCTATTTCAATATTATTAGATGTTTGAATGTCAAATAGTAAAGATTTACAAGTGATGAATATGCTCAAAAATAATTTTACTTTAAAAATAGAATAAAACCCTAGTTGTGAACGCTTGTAGTGCTTTTTCAATGTTACTAAAGACTATTTATAATTAAACGACGTAATCACAAGCTCGTCAACAGGTTTCTTACCGCTCTTTCATAGTAATATCAAGACTTACGAGACAACAAGTTATACTTCCTCCCGTTCGATATCAGGATATTAAATTACTATGTCATATTCTTTATAGGTCACGCAATTGTAAACAAAACCATATTGTTGAGTTTTAATCTGGAAGTTAACTTATTTAGAATCCTTCAAGATAGTCTAGTGGATTACACACTGTCATAAATGCAAAACATTTAAAATAAACCTGATGCTATTCAAGCCATCGTATAAAAATATTCTTCACGCTTGTCAATACAAGTAAACCAGACAAACTTTTATTTCCTATTCCTAAGAAACAGATCAACTATTAACCAATCCGATTATATGAACAGATTTTTTTTTATTCTAAATGAATAACATTATAAAATTTTTCTTTAATCATTTGTTTTCCATCAACGTCAAGTATGCGTTTACTATTATTAGTCATTTTTCTTTTTCATTATTGTCATTCAACAGTTGATTTATTATTTCAAATTCAACCTCATTCAGTACGTATTAATAATCAAGATGAAATATATATAACAAGTGATGATCATTATATTGGACAAGTATTATATCGATCTGATCAAATACAATTAGCATGTGATTGTCAAACACAATTAAATAAAACACAATATAATATTTATTGGGCAATTAATAATAAAATTATCGATCAATATCGTAGTTTAAATAATATACATTTAATGATTGATAAAAATAATGTACAAGCACCAGTAACATATGTATCTTGTCATTGCGTATTTATTCTACCAAATTTAAAACAAATCAAAAGAAATTATCGTTATCAATTATATATTGGTAAATAGTTTATTAGTAGAAGAAATGAATGATCTTTTGTTTTTTTATATAAAAATGTTTTAGATTTAGAAAGTGAACCATCATTAAAACCAATTATATATTCTGTTGAATTAAATATGATCAAAGGACATTTTTATGATTTTCTTCGTCGTCATTCTATTCTTTTGGTTAGTTTTACTGTTATTATTATTGGAATAACATGTTCACTTGTTATTTTAAGTTTCTTACCCTTTTCATTAAATTTTATCGATTAAAAATAAATTCTTCATATTGATAATTAAATAAAAAACAACAACAAAATTATTGATGAAGAGATGAAAATTATAACAAAAATCTATTTTAAATCTTCATTGACATGAAATATATATTCTTCTTTATGTATTGAAATAGATAATATACTTAATTATTTCCGTCGAACGGAAATAATTTGTCGATACACAGAGCAATCAAAATTATGAATGTTCAGATTATTTTTAATAACAAAAAGAGATAAATTCAATACGTTCAATTTACATAGGACTTGGAATTAGTCAAATGAAACCTAATGTTCATATTATCAAGTCTTTCTCTAGTTTTACAGTTAAAAGAAAGAACAGGATAGAATACTGTCAAAAATCTGTCACATTGAAACGAACCATTTCCATATATTATGATGTTGACAAGATTTACAATTCAGCTAATGTTGCAGTTGTAGTTATTTAAAACTCTTCAACATCTTTGATTAAATTTTTTGCTTATGCTTTTTATTGAAATTATATATCTGAATATTATCTGTTTGAGTTGATATCATTCTACTAAACGTTATAAAATCTGTATGATAATATCTGGAGTTTTTCAAAAAAACTAGACTTGAACAATTAAAGAATTTTAAAATTTAGATTCTAGTATTATTTAACAAATAAAAATCAACATCGTTTATTTAAAATTAATATAGCTGCAATACGAGCATTTGATGAATATATGATTCATACTTTCGATTAATATCCATTGGAATCCAACAAAGATGTCACTTCCAATTTACCTATATAAAATCTTCTAAACTTTTCATTTTTCTTTCTAAAGTAAACTTTCAAATAAAAATTTCTATAAATTTTATTTTAAAAATCTTTAATTAGAAAAACTCCTTTTATCCAATATGTAAAATAATTCATCTTAAATCTGATTGGATATTTAAAAATCCTAACTTCTTCATTGATTTGTCTTGTTTATTTTGTCAGATTCGGCAGTTTTCTTTAAAAATAAAAAACAACTACAATAATTTTTTCTCTATAATTTTAGATCTTTGTCGATTCTACGTGAATAAAATATTCTAAAATATTCACATTGAACCTTTCTAAACATGGCAACTAAAGATCCAACGAGCGGTAAAATTCCAGCTCAAGCTGGTGCTGGTGAACAACAAGAATATAAAATTCGTATCACATTAACATCTCGAAATGTCAAATCACTTGAAAAAGTCTGTGCTGATTTAATTCAAAAGGCTAAAGATGAAGAAATTCGTGTTAAAGGACCAGTTCGTATGCCAACAAAAGTTTTACGTATAACAACACGTAAAACACCATGTGGTGAAGGTTCAAAAACATGGGATCGTTTTCAAATGCGTATCCATAAACGTGTCGTTGATTTACATTCAAAATCGGAAATTGTTAAACAAATTACATCAATTAGTATTGAACCTGGTGTAGATGTTGAAGTAACAGTTGCCGATTCATAAATCCATACATTACAACAAAAATAAACAAACAATTTCTTTCAACAATGAAGAAATGACATATAGATATTCTAACATCAAAAAATATATTATTTTGTCTTTTCTTCGTCTTTTTATTGTTGATCTTTGTTTTGTTCATATCAAATAAAAATAAAAAAACAACATTAACAGTAACAACATAAAATAAAAAAATCTTGTCAATCATTCTAGAGATATTATATATATATATATAGAAAAATAAAAACTAACACAGAATAAATATGAAATATTTATTATCAATTCTAAAACGAACATCAATAAATCGAATACAATATTATCGTTCGTTATCATCTGCGGTAAATAATTATAATCAATTACCAACAACATGTGATCCACAATCAGATGTTTATAAGGTAGTTTTTATTTTCGATTTAATTCATAATACAAAAAAAAACCCTTTAATACGCACCTTTTTTTGGGTCAAGCTTGATTTGTACGATCAGCTGATAATTCAATAGAAGAGTTAAGGATTAACAGAAAATAATTACAGCATTAAAGATATACGTATATGATCTTGTATAACTATAAACATTCAGGCTAACTATTTTGAGCTAGATATTTGATCCTAACATATAAATATCCTTGATTTATTTTATAATTAACTTCGAACCATTTGTTTTACTTCCGAATTTAAAGTATTTGATCAGTCCGACGGTGACCTTCGTATTGTAGGAAATGTATTTATATTTTTAGCTCTATTTAAAACCGTGACTAAATCCCACACTTCTGCTGGTAACAGAAACTATTATCCTAAAAGATAATTTCTAAACGAAAATTTGACATTGATAAATAATGATATATATATATAGATCAATTGTAGTTTCGGCCGATCTTCAAAAAGTTTGTTTCTGTGAGAGAAAATTTTGTTTTGTTCTTCTTTTATAGAGTAATTATGCAGCCATGACTAAAACTGTAAATGAATTAAAAACTGTTGCAAAACGTATTACTCTTGGCGGTAATGAAGAAGCTCGGAAACGTCATACATCAAAAAATAAATTATTGGCGAGAGATCGTATTGATAAATTAGTTGATCCAAAGTTTGTGACTTTATTTTTAATTTGAAGTTTTAATTAATTTTTTATAAAATGAAAATAATAGTACACCATTCCTTGAGCTCTCACAATTAGCTGGACATTTATTATATGATGGTGAAGAGGTTCCTGCTGCTGGTATTATTACTGGAATTGGACAAGTTGAAGGGTAAATAATATACATATATATATTTACATTTTATAACGAAATTTTTATTTAGACGAGAATGTATAATCATAGCGAATGATGCAACTGTTAAAGGTGGTTCATTTTATCCAATAACAATAAAAAAACAATTACGTGCTCAAGAAATAGCAAGAGAAAATCGATTACCATGCATTTATCTTGGTATTATAGATAATTATACCAATGAATTAATACAAATTTCTGTATTTTTAGTTGATAGTGGAGGTGCTAATTTACCTCGTCAAGCAGATGTATTTCCCGATAAAGAACATTTTGGACGTACATTTTACAATCAAGCAACAATGAGTGCTTTAGGCATACCACAAGTGAGTAAAACAGAGAATCAATAATATAATTGAATTTATTCTTTTAAAATTTAGATTGCTGTTGTTATGGGTAGTTGCACAGCTGGTGGTGCTTACGGTACGTTGAATTATGAAAAATAATCATTCATAGCGATACGATTACGATGAATCTTTTTCGAAATTGATTCATACGAGTTTTAGAAAATCGAATACAATTTAAGAACTTGTTTCTTTATGAGTATATATGAAATGTTATTTTGAATTTAGTTCCTTCTATGGCTGATCAATCAATCATCGTTCGTAAACAAGGAACTATATTTCTTGCTGGTCCACCTTTAGTTAAAGCAGCTACCGGTGAAGTTGTATCAGCAGAAGATCTTGGTGGTGGTGATCTTCATTGTCGGTTAGTAATTTTTATCTCTTATTAAAAAAGCTAATTTAACAATAAGCTAATAAATATAGTCAATCCGGTGTAACAGATTATATTGCAATGGATGATGCTCATGCTTTGCATTTAACAAGACGTATTGTTTCAAATCTCAATTATAATAAATCTCAACAAGTTTGTTAAAATTTCTAGAAACTCTTCTATCTCTATTTCTAATTCATATTCAAGGTTGTTATGAAACCAACTGTTGAACCTCTTTATCCAGCAGAAGAAATATATGGTATAGTAGGTGATAATCTCAAGCAAGTATATGATGTTCGAGAAGTATGGCAACTATATATTTACTTTTAATTTTGATTTATATTTAAATATTGTTTCTCGTAAGGTTATTGCTCGTATTGTTGATGGAAGTGAATTTGATGAATTCAAACAATTATATGGAGAATCACTTGTTACTGGTAAATAATCATGAAATATGTTTTAGCAAAAAATATCATTGATGATTTATTTTATTAGGTTTTGCTCATATTCATGGTTATCCAGTTGGTATTTTAGCTAATAATGGAGTTCTCTTCTCAGAATCTGCTCTTAAAGGTGCACATTTTATTCAATTATGTTGTCAACAAAAAATTCCATTATTATTTTTACAAAATATTACCGGTAAAATTCATATATAGTCCTATTCAAATAACAAAAAAATCGAAATAAATCTATTCATAGGTTTTATGGTTGGACGTGAAGCTGAAGCTGGTGGTATTGCAAAAAATGGAGCAAAATTAGTCAATGCTGTCGCTTGCGCTCAAGTACCAAAAATAACTGTCCTTATTGGAGGTATATTTTTTTTAAATACTATTCTATATAATTTTAAGACGAACTTATTTAATAGGAAGTTACGGAGCAGGTAATTACGGTATGGCTGGACGATCATATAGGTAAAAGAAAATTAATTTTAAGGAAAAAAAATTTATCTTTTTTTGTTATTTAGTCCAAGATTTTTATATATGTGGCCAAATGCAAGAATATCAGTAATGGGTGGTGAACAAGCCGCTCAAGTTCTTACACAAATTACTGCTGAACAACGTAAAAGACAAGGCCAAAAAGTGAATAAATCATTTGAATTATTATAACGATTCAATCTTTTTTTCTCTTCTTCTCTAGTTTACCAAAGAAGAAGAACAAGCAATTCGTGACCCTATTTTAAGTAAATATGAACATGAAGGTTCACCATATTATTCATCAGCACGTCTTTGGGATGATGGTGTTATTGATCCATTAGATACACGACTTGTTTTAGCTCTTAGTCTTAGTGCGTCACTTAATGCTCCTATACCTGAAACACGTTTTGGTATTTTCCGAATGTAACATGTTTTGTCTTTATTTTTCTCGAAATAAAATTTTTTTATGAAGAAACAAAAGCTAATTTCACAAAAATAAACATTAACGATAATTATAAGAATGTCCATGATGAGAACTGTGATGATAAGGTGCGGCTGAATATTGTGGATAACTCTGTTCTGGTGGATAATTGCTATATGGTTGATTATAATAATTCGGATTTGCTTGTCGAGCATACATTTCTTCTTTTGTCTGACCATAAGCTGTATGTACTCGTCGTGCAGCTACAACCCCAAGATATGTAGCAGCTCCAAGTGCAAGTAAGTGAGCCATTTTCTATTCGCACCTTCAAAATGAATATATATATATGTAAAACTATATCAATATGTATATTACACTGTTCTTTATATTTCAATGTGAATACATAGAGCTTCAGTGAAGCGTAACAATATATCAAAAACAGGTAGAATACTATTTTCAACTACGGAAATAGGTAAATGTGAAACCAAAAAAATAGATGTTACTCATGAGTATCCAATAAAAATGTATACAAACAAATAATAAATATTGCTATTCGAACTGAATTGTACATTTTAACAAAAAGTAAAATGTTACCTTTGTATGTAAAGAAAAAGTGTGACAAATTTTTTTTTCTTTCAATTTCGTGAATTTTTATACTATTTTTTTTCATTAATAAAAATGGCAGATCTAGTTTTTTGTTATAAATATTCCGTGAATTTGTTTTTTATTGCATACGAAAAGTGTACGAAAGATTAGGCAGTACATTGCTTATTGAATCACATTTGTCCTTGTTCACTTTTAATCATGATTTAGATGAAAGAAACATAATCATTCATTTTATTCGCAAAGCCTTCGTATTAATTATATATATATGTGGCTTGTTTTCAGACTAAATTATAGTCATTACAGGAATATCTTACTTAATGAATAACAAAAATAATTTCAACGTAGGAAGAACGTATCTGGTTAACGTCTATCTTAGTAAAAAAATTTTTTGAGGGCATATTGATTGTATTACAAGTTAAATCATAATGGAATAGAGACTTTCGATTATTATAGTTTAATTCTAATTATTGAAGAATACGGTTGTTCATTGATATAGACATCAGTAATCGATATATGAATATTCTGTTTGATATATTGTTGTTTAAAGCGAAATACCACAAACTATATTTGAAAAATACAAACAAGAATAACACCAGATGTATATATTTAAAGAAGCTTAAAATTATATATCTGTTGATTATCATGTAATAGAGAAAAATTTTAATAATAACTCTTGTTGTCAAAAATTAGCATAGGATAAGGTCATATCTATATGTGTGACGAGTCACAGGATGCGGATGTATAGAAACATCGCCTCGATCAATGTTATTATTAGTCTTTTTTTAGAACAAGCACTTAGACACAGAGTCGACCCTTTAGTTCTATTCTTGTCTTTGACTTGTAGGATTATTAGAGGAAGCACATATATTTTAAACAATCGAGGAAAAAAAGTCAGTATTGTATTGAACATGACTTGGTACACAATTACAAATGTGAAATTTAACAAAACTTCTTGTTTGATCATTATAATAGACAAAAATATCCGTTAAAATACCCAGATTTTTTAGTATTATTATCTTTCTTATAATTAAACCAGGCTTCATCTGATCAGTATGCAATTCCTGTTAAATTAACACGAAATATAGTCGATCTAGAAAAGAATTAATTATTTATTTTTAGACTTATTAACTTTATATCATTCATGACCAAAAGTGTTAGAAATAATCGAACATATATATTTTGCTCTCAAAATAGAGTATTAAAACAAATGAAAGTGTACTCAACAGTCCAATATAATAATAGAGATCACAAAGTATAAAATCGTGTAATTCTTTTTGTTGCGCAAGTACTTTGAACTGTCAAATTATTAGTATATCTGCAAATGAAATGCTGAAAAGAGAGAGTTCATCAAGTTTCTTACAGAATTCGACATACGTGGATATAGTTAATTAAAAAATACCTCGCCAATCTTTTACAATGCATTCACCTCCAAATGATGAATACTCAATTACAATAGTTCAGGACTAGCCAAAAGTCACTTTACCATACAAAATAATTGAATATCTCCACTATAGCTCTTACGAATAGATTGGATATTTTTCTTCCCGATGTAAATGTTAATTTCAGTGAAAAACAATCAACTCGTTTGCTCCAGTCCTAGTGGAAACATTCAAGTTTTTGTAAGATAGAGTAACTTTGATCCACTTCGTATAAATGAATAAAAGTCATCTTCATTTATTTCCTAACGTTAATGATATCATGTCATTATAAAATGTAAAGAATAATCAAGAAAATCTTATGATAATTTATGCAGATGAATATTCTTCACTTCCTTACCTTCCGGGATATTTTCGTAGGATATTTTGATGAAGTAATCAGTGGTAAATATTACAAAAGATCTGTCTGACTTTTAAGAATATGATCGGATACATCTGCACTTCTTTCATGATGTTTCTAAATATAACAATAATAATTATGAAATAAAAACTTCAGGAACTTTGAAATCGATATTATCATTAAAGAACTAAAAAAACAATTGCCAATGTGCATATAGATGTAACATAATATCGATGTCAGGAAGTGTAAAGATATCTGTGTAATTACATATATGTGATCTTATAGTTTTTAACATTTATTAAAGGACAAAACAGACGTGCATAATTACTTTATTCTTTTAATGAAGTCATATGTTTAATAGCTTAATTTAAATTTTTGGATCAAATAACAAAAATTAGATAAGTGATAGAATATTACATTCTCTATTTCGAGATCGTTCATAAAAACAAAAAGTTATTTATTAAGAAAACAGGAAATATCTTTTTCCCTTCTTCTTCTTTTTTCATAAGTACATTCAATGAGTAGTTTGTTTCATTTCCAGATACACAAATTTACTTAATTCAAACAAAAAATCTTTTATACTTTAAAGTATTTCAAGTATATCTTGTTGTTTTTTTGATTGAAGAATCCTATTGAATATTAATATACTTGCGCATGATATTGAACCTCGATCCAGAAAAGAAAAAAAACAAACTTCTACTTGTCGACTGTTATAATTGAAACCTTTCAATTCTAATAAGTATAATTATACATTTGTTATGAACTCGATAATTAATAGAAACAGAAGAAATGATGAGTTATTTTTTTTTATGTTCATTCTTTTCTTTTTCTTTATTATATAAAACTAAAGCCTACACTTTTTCTTTTTTATCTTCGTGCATCATTTTATGATGCGTATTGACATCAATTAATGATGTTGCATGCATTCCATTAGCACGCAATTGATAGTCGACTATATTTCGTTGAAAATCATGAAAAACCTATGATATTCATAGAGATTAAATAGTAACTTATTTACACTTGGAGGGCAGTTGTAAAATAAGAAGAATACTTGAGTTCCGCAGGCGATTTACATCGTAGTTTTAACGGATTGAGTATACGTCTATAATTGCCATTTAACAGTCAAAATAATTAAATAGAGAAAAAAAAAGAAACGACCGGAACAGTAATAAATATCTTGCCGTTTTTCATTCCTGTTTTTTTTCTATTAAGTATTGATGACAATGAAATTCTCTCATTCCATTTGCGCTCTATTGTAATGTATGCTTGATCAGTAAATGAGCATTCATACAAGAACAAAAAATTCCATATGAAGTACGTTTTTAGTAACTGCGTCGTTTTTAAATAAATATCTATATTTAAATTTTTAATACTACTTTGTTCCTTAGTTTTATGTTATTGTAGAAAAATAGAAAGGAAAATATTTGTAAACTATTCTACTTTTTCTATAGTTTGTTACATTAAAAACTAGATAGTATTTTCTAGTTGATGTCATCTACTAATACTCTATATATTTTCTTTTTCCTTTTAATATAAATGCATGTTAATAATAGAAAGACGTGTCATTTGAAAATATAAATTCTATTATATTATATAGATAATCAATGACGACAAATACAACCTACGATTCAAGTCGTGATCTTCGACATACTCGATTAATTCTTTTGTCTACACTTTTTTTCGTTGGTTTAGCTGGTTGTTCATTAGTTTTAATATGGTTAATACGTTATACACGATTTAATAAACGATCAGCTCGTATATGTACACTTATTCTTAATTTAATTATTGCCAATGTATCTGTTTATATATTTGCTACTGGTATACAAATATATTGGGAACTTCAAACAAATCGACAATGGCCATTTAATGATTTAGTTTGTATGTTATTAAATATCTAAAAAAAAAGCAAAATTATAATTTTATTTAGGTCGAATTGTAAAATTTTTTCAAAGTTTTTCAATACTTTCATCAACATATATTGTTGTTGCAATGGCAATTGATCGTTGTATTGCTATAGTAACTCCATTAAAAGCTGGACAAATTCGTGTAAGTCTCATAGACAAAAACTAATCAAATTATTAGAATTCAATTATATATATATATTTTTAGGTACTCTATTTATGTGGTGGTGCCTGGGTACTTGCCGGTCTCTTGTCAACACCAAATGCATTTCTATTTCATTTACATGTCAATGGTTCTGTTCGTTATTGTACCGCTGTATTTAATCATCAATCAACTCCTACACTACGTCGTATTTATTTAACATTTATTTCACTGGTGGTCTACTTTATGCCATTTCTTGTTCTGGTCTTTTGTTATGCATTAATTTTTGTTAAATTATTATGTCGAGAACATGATCAACAAGAATGGTCAACGAATAAACAATCATCATCAAATTGTTGTTCATCGTCATGGAAAAAGAAAATGATAACATTTACAAACATAATGAATTATAAAACCGTTAGAAATTCATCATCAAGTCGTTCATCGTTTAGTGATTATACTATACGATTAAAACGAATAAATACATATGCAAAAGCTCGATCAAAAACATTTCGTATGGTAAGAAGAATATATATATATATATATTTTCTTAAATTATACATTTTATCTATTTAGATTATTGTACTTGTTCTATTTATGATTTTATTTGGTGCACCATATTATTGTCTTGAATTATATATTGCTTATACTGGTCGAAAACCTTCGGATTTGATACTAGCTTTAGCTGGTGGAGCAGCTGTAGCACCATCGTCAATAGATCCATGGATATTTCTTTTATTTTGGGTTAATTGGAATGAACCAGTCAATACGAATAGTAGTCGACGATTAATTACATTAAGTTTACAACATCAACAGCAACATATTCAATCGAGACGAATAAATCGATCAACTACATTAGGTGCATCATCAATAAGTGATCAACAAAATCATGGTAGTCCTCGTCATGCATCACGTTCAGCACCTTGCATTAGAAAATGGGATGTATCATCACAAAAGTTAGAAAACTTATGATTGTTTATAGACATTTGAATTACTGTATATTTTATTCAATTAAATATATACATCTAAATATAACTTTCGAAAAAGTAATGTCTTTTTTGATACAAGGAAATTAAGTGTATGTGATGTGAAGTAACTGGAAAAATCAGTAAATAAATACGGAGATGATTTTTCTACGTAGTCTTAAACAACAATAGATTCTATATAATTAAGTATAGAAAAAAGGTGACGTATTTTATATTAATAATTCTTTTAATACCATCACGCAATGATAAATAACTTAATGGTAGATTAGACAAAAACAAAAAAAGTGTTTATTTTAGTTTATATATTCATAGTCGCTATTTTGGAAAATCTTACAACTGTTGATAATTTATTTCAATAAATTACTGTAGTCTATTTTTTATTATATAAAATGTTGTTTTTCAATTTTTTACAAGTCGTATTTATTCTACGTGATGCACCCATTCAACTAATGAACATAAAAAAGGACTGTAATAGAGAGTATATAATTTGATCTAATTGTGGAATGGTTGTTTTTCATACTTGAGATTAATTTATAAAATAATAAACAAGCAAAATTTTGTTAAAATCACTTATTAAAAGTAGTTTATAGTGAAAGGAATAGAGGGATCATACTAACGATGATCAAAATGTTCAGTGTATAATATCTCGAAAATTCCTTGAATCTTTAGCATTCAAATGTTGTATAATCTAATGACAATGTTTGCATTACTCGATATGATTATCATACTTATAAATAGATGTGTTCACATTTTATTACGAATCATGCAAATGATTTATACATTCTTTTATATTTAGTGTTAACTAAAAAAGGAACCACCTGCGGTATCAAAAAGCTTTAGAGCTTAAATTTTGTCCATAAGTAGGGAGTCTATAAACCAGAAAAGCCTAAGAGAATGTGGGTGTAAGTTATGAATTCCCGCGATATGGGTCTATTAGCATAAAATCAGCTTCTGACGTAAGTTGATAGCTCAACTTGCACACATATTCTCTGAAGCTTTTTGATACGTCGGATGGTTCCTTCGTAAATTTATGACTATAGATTATTTATGAACATCTATTCTAAACGTTTTTTTTAGTAATAGAAAACAAAAACAGTTGAACGAAAAATTGAAATAAAATTTCATTTAATTAATTGTCCTTTAACAGCATCTTTAATAAAGAAAAGTGGAGTTGGCATATCACTATGTTGATATTCAACTTTTGAATAAACATTTTTCATTGCATCAAAATAATTTGTTATTGGTTTGAATCGACAACCATCACCAATAATAGCCCATACGGGTTCAATCATTCTTTGAAATCCATAAATAAACGGATCAGCTTCATAATTAGCAGATGTATGTTCGAAGAAAATAAATTTTCCACCTGGTTTTAATATACGATGAACTTCAAGGAGAACTTTTTCTGGTAATGGATCTGGAATACTACATAACACTAATGTCATAATGACTGTATCAATACTATTTGATTTAACTTCATGCATATCTGTAGCTGAATCATTTAAAAGATGAATTTCATATGGAATTTTATCCCATTGTTTAATAAAATCATAAAAATACGAATACATTTGAATATTAGGTTCAATACCAATATATGATTGAATATTTGTATTATTATGTAAACATAGAAAATTTATTCCTGTACCAGAACCAATTTCTAATACTTGACCTTTAACATTTGAATGTTTTAATAATTGATTACATCGAATATCCATCATGGCAGTATTATTTGGATCCGAAAGTTTATTGAGAAATCGAGCAAAAACTATGAAATAATAAGAAAAAGGTTTATAAAAAGATTAATATATTATTTTAACTAACGTTTTTGTCGATAAAGATCATTCATTTTTAAATATGCAATACCAATTGCAATCAATGCTACTATAATGGATAAACTTCCAAAAAGAATTTTAACACAACGACCCATATCTACAATAAATACATTTAGTGAAAAGTAAATATTATTCATTGTAAAATATTAAATCATAGTAACACGATTATCGTATATATACATAGAAGTATAAATAGTTCACTATTTCTTCGTATTATGAACATGTACTCAAATATAAATATATACTTCATATTTTCGAAAACATATCTACCAATCATATGAATAATAAGTCATTGTCTTATTGTATTAGTAAATTTTATAAAGGTCATACGTTTGCTTACGTGAAAGCAAATAAACATTATGACTCATGATTTTAAATGCAGAAAGAATATGATGTGATAAGACACATGGCAATATTTTGCATACGAGGGTGCGATATTTTTTGAATGGTCGGTCGGGAAGAGTAAATCTAACGTAAACGCCATATCTGAATTTTATTTCCTTTCGTATTTTAATTCTATTATGTTTTCTACATTTAGGTTTCAGAATCATTATCTAAAACTACACAGACAGTTGATACTCAGCGAGAAAAATATGAAATAAAATTTATTTTTCATTCTATTTTATTTTTCTAGACATCATTGAAACATGATCTGGAATTTCAAATTAAAAAAAATGAAATGCAATTATCTGCATTAAAAGAAAACTTAGCAACTGTACGAACTGAATTAAGAGCTGCGAATGTAAAATTAACAGAACTTGAACATAAGATAAATTCTTGTTTATGTGTTACAGTTTCTATTTTAGATACGGATGCACATTCAGCTGTAAGTCAAGAAGAACGACGTGTTTTATTAGAAAGATCATTAGCAAATGAGAGTAAAAATGAAAAACTTATAGCTGAAAATGCTCAATTAATTAAGAAAAATTCCAATTCAGAAGCAGCTTTACAAGAAATGGCTCGCGAATTTCAGAGTCAACAAGTAAAATTTCAAAATTATTTGTTTTTTATTCAAAATTTTTTTTTCTTCTTTTACATAGATTCAACTAAATAAAGTAAGTCAACGTCGATGGCTAGATGATGATGATCTTCATTCAATGTATGAAATGTCATCAAAAACAGCTGTTGTTGCAGCAACATCAAAAAAACCACAACGTGCTTGTGATCAATGTTATAAAGATTTAACTTCTTAAAGACTTTTAATATTCCATCGATTTTATATGTTTGCTTTTTATATATGAAAAGTGTTTTGTAATAAAATAAATATTACGATAAGAAGATATATTGGTATAAGTATATTACAGTTTTTATGTGATTGATAATTTTTGAATAAATATAGGAAAAATTCTTTTTAAATAGTAATTAAAGTTCTTCAATGAAAAGAATTTCCAGTCATTGTGATTTAAATATTTGTCGGAGGTTACCTTTGGAATGTAATCATATTGAAAAACATTCCGGCTACAATCCAACAATAGTATACTCTGACAGAAGGTTATTAAATATATCGATGAATATCCAAGAAAAGAAATGAATTCTAGATCCTAAAATCTTACGTATGATCTATCCAAGCATGACAGATTCACAATTTTCCCCTTTGCTTTTTTAATATCTAAATACAGCCAATCAAGCAAGGTTAAATGACTGCAACATCGCTCGACAAGATGGTGATATCGGTTTTAATAGACTCAATTGGCCGACTTGGAGGCTGTGAGTATATCATACACATCACTATATCTACACCGACACCCACACCCACACTCCACATGCATATCTTCACCTATACTCACACTTACACCAAAAATTAGATCGCCTACGTCCAAGCGCAACTGGTGCTGATATCAAAGAATTTGCTATTGATTCTCATAAATCTTCATTCAGCAGTTTATTGAGTGAAAAACAAAGAAAATAAGACATGCTGCAAAAAATATAAGATATGAAACTTTTTTCTGTTCTCCAAGTTTCTTATTCTCTCATCTGTAGTATTTGTTGCCTGATATTTTTTTGTGCGAAACTGTCCAAAGAAGAACATTATAACTTCAACTCTTTCAAAAACCAATTCTTTTCTATTTCGAGCACCGGGAGTATTTTCTTACGAACATCGACCATTCGCTCTTACGCACGTCCGTCGTTTTCATTCCGAGCATTCATTATTTTACATTTCGAACTTCGGTCATTTTTTACTCCGAATAGCCGTCATTTTATGTTTCGAGCATCCTGTATTTTCCGTTGCGAACATCTGTACGTCTTTCATTTCGAACAGTCGGTCTTTTTCATTCCGATCTTCCGGACTTTTCATTTGGAACATCCGGACTTTTTCAGAGCAACTGGAATTCGGAATCGATTTTTCTGACCGATGTCCGAAAAAAAATCAATGACGAAAAGGGTTTACCTCGTTTTGCGCAACACTATTTCAATTTTCTTTTCTTTTGGTCTCCTTTTTTTCATTCTTTTCTGATGCGCTATTCTCTGTCAGAGTATGCTATATGCTGAATATTTACGCCCAATATGACTTACAGGTACGTGCGGCGCAGTTTCGATTTCTTAGGGAATGCAATAAACTTTTAAATAAGGCTGTATAGTGTACACCCTTCCACATACTGATGGATTCTGCAGTAGAAGCTTTTTTTATAAGCTTACTTTTTCCAAGTCATAGCGCTGAATCTTTGTATACTAGTTCATCAGAGAGTAAATTAAAAGTCTTATAACAGACTAACGTTTTTCTCGGAAACAAATTTACTCAAAACGAGTTGCCAAAGACTCATGTTCGTCTTTCTAACTGTCTTCGTTCACTGACAACTAGGTGTGGGACTTGATCTTCACATAAAAGTTTTCAGAATATATTAACAGCTGCTTCTTTTCGAAAGAACTATAGGTAAAAGAATCTTCTTTCATTTTTAACTCGTCGAATAGTTATAAGTGTTCGTGAATATGTATTGATAGTAGAAAAAAAAATCAATTTTTGCCTACGAAAAATATACAATTCTTTCATTTAATTTCAAAATATTTTTTTCTTTCACCTTTTTTATTTGTAAAATCGGTTACAATGGTATCAATATCGATTTGATAATCTTTTTCTATATTTATTAATGCTAAAGATGATAATCGTTCTTGTCCAGTTGTAGTCGATTTTATATCAAGAAAAGACGAAGAAAAAAAAATATTTTGAAATAAATTAAATCTCACGAAAAACAAACAATAAAAACCGGATGAAAAACTCAATTTTATTGAAAACAAGCAGCAGAAAAAGACTAGTCATTATGCTCTACCAATTATTTGCTATTTAATATAACTTCAATTTTTTCAATGTAAATAGATATTGGATACATAGGGTCTGGAATACATTCATCAAAATAATAGAATATAGGTTCATAAGGCAATATTAATCAACACTTGTATATTAAATACGAGATTGTATTAAATATATGTGTACTGAATTAGACAGTTTTACTTTAATCTATAAAGAAAGAAGAAAAAAATTGGGGATGTAACTGCGAACTCGTTTGCTCTTATCTATAAAGTAAATATATAAAGACAGTGACCGATACTTTTACACTGCTACTTTTCTGTAGCCGCTCACGCTTACAAGAAGTATTTTTCGATAAGATTCATTTTCGTTCTAAGGGGGTTGAAGTTAGTGAAGATGGTGTTGAAGCAGAGATGAATCGAGCTTCGTTGTGTTACCCAAACGGTCACTTACACGAGCACCCTTATCCTGAAGATTCTATGTAAAATGTTGATTTATTTCTACCTTTGACTGGAGTACTTACAAATGTTTTTTTTGAACAGGGAGAAAATTGATGGAGTTTTGCTAGATATCACTTTATAGCCATTTAGTCTAACTTTTCTGTATTTAGAGTAACATTCGATTCTAGTCTACTTTTGATTCAATAACAAGAAAGATGTTCTCTTATTTATTAAATATTGTGTCGATTGCCGTTATAATTAGAAATAATGTTTCACAAACGGTAGAAGATTTGAAAGACGAAATTAAGCGTCTTTGGCTAGCAATTAATACGTACAATAGAGATATGGATGTCAATGGACCACATGAAAATATAATGGTATTAAATGGTCATGTCGAATGGATTAAGCTCACAAGAAGCAAGTTAGAGGCAGTTGTAAATAAAAAAATGAAAGAAAGCAAAGCAACAGAAGAATTTATTAAACAACTTCGTGAAGAAAAGATAAGATCTGCCGAATATGAACAGTACTACGAGGAAAAATTAAACAATTGCGAGAAGAAAGTGAAAGAACTTGAAAAGATGGATGAAGAATTAGACGAAATGCTGTTAAAATTGGATGATTTTTATCCTGATTTAGTCGGGGAGACCGAATACGGTAAACTTATACGTTGGGAAGACAATTTAGAAATTTTAAACGCATCAGACGGTGATTAATTTGAAGAACGTCTTCATGATGCTGTTGGTATAACAAATCACCAATAAACGTTTATAGACATTTTTCTCGAACTTTGTTACCTTTTTTTTGATGTTGCGAGTTGTTTTTTTAATATTTTCCACCTATTTAAATTATTATAACCAAGAAAAAAAAGAAAATGAAAGATGTTATAAGTTATAGTTTTGATAAGAATGAAGTTTCTTCTTATCTATCAATCTGGACAGTACATGCAAAAAAATAATCGAAAAAGTAGTTAATAATGACTTTAATTTATCAATAAATTTGTATATTCAAATTTTATGAAAACTTGATTCAATGCAAATAGAAGATGTTTCGTTGTTTTACAAATCTTTATAATTAAATTGATTCCTTGATCAATTCCTCGTCTATTTGAAAAATCAATCGATTATATTCAATTGCTCAAGTTCAAATACATTGTAATAAATATGTGTTTCATTCCCATGCAACTTTTTAACATACGTTATGTTCGACATTCGAGAAGTGATTATTTCGTAACGTTATGAATTATTCTTTTTTTTTTAATAAATAGTTTCATCGATGTATAGTGATACATCAGTTTTGTTTTCTACTATTTTATGATAACAATAAATCAGACAGTCGAAGGACAAGTTAATGAAGATGGATGAGTATTATTCGGTAAAAATTATAATCTAGAAATATACATCGCTTTGATCTTTATTAATAAAGACTTTTTACATACTAATTCAGTCTCTGTTTTAGATTTTATCGTCTCAAAATACTTACAATATAAAAAAAATATTTTAATAACTATGGTTTTTCTCTCGTTAAAAAAATATATACTTGTGTATGAGATATACTCTTATTGTTACACCATATTGCATATATTTTTATATAAATAAACCTTTTCCTAGGGCGCAATATATGCTATTTATACTTATATGATTATATTACGCCTTTTGATTACAATTTCCTTTGACAATAATATGTTGTTTCTCGACAGGTGCTGTGCATTAGAGTATAACAAAAGGAACTACGTATTTCAATTATTTCAGCGCTACAGTCAATGTTAGTAAATTTAAAATGAATTCTCACTTTATTTTAGATAAATTTTTGAACTAAAACGAAGAAAAATACAATAGAATTTTATTAACTATCTTGATTGGTGGATAAATAACTAGTATTATATCAATCATCTGTGTTCATAATCTTGATTGGTTAGACATTCTACCTTATTTTTACACATTTATTATTCTTTTATTTTGTCATTGTCTTTAAGTCGACAATGTGGGTGAAACCATCAGAAATATTGGTAAATTATTTTTCTATATTATAAAATACGAATAAGAATATTAAATTTTATTTTTATTAGGTCACTGGATTTTGGTAAAATCATATTTTTGTTTTTTTATTCGAAAAGTATAACTCGATTTTCATCTATTACAGGTCTACTGATCGAGCAAATCCTTATTTTGCATTACAACGTCGTCGAGGTCATGATGAAGAACATGGAGGTTTTACTAGTCTTTTTGTTGCTACAATTGATTCTGTATTAGACAGCAAAGTAAAATAAATTCTATTAATCAAATCTTTTTTTTCTTAATAACGAAAAGATATTTTCATAGACAAATCGTTATCGAATTCTTCATCAAAGACCTGATTCGGAAGTTTATCATTGTAAAATAATTTTAAATATTTATTCCTTCTATTTTTCCTGTTTTGTTTGAAGTGATTGCTGAAGCAGACACAAAAGAAGAAATTGAAGAGCATTGGAGCTGGATCGAAGAAAATCTATTACCAACACTTGGTAGAATTTTTTTCGATTGAATGAAATAGATTTTAAATTATTATTATTCTAGGAGGAATTGAAGCAGGAGTTGATGTAACTGATTATGTTCAATGTAAAATAAAAAGTTTATGTGCACAAGTTGATGAAGCTGAAATTGATGGTAAGAGAAAGAAAAAAACAACGTACAAATATTTATTTAATATTCTTCTTCGTATAGATTTTGAATCGGATAAATTTAAAAATGCAACAAAAAAATTCCATAAATTATTTAATGTTCCAATTGATGAAAAACTTGTTACATGTAAATTTTATTATAAGAATCTATTTATATATATTTTTTTTTGTTATCAATAGATTATTCTTGTTCATATTGGCGTGGACGTGTACCACGTCAAGGTTGGCTATATTTATCAGTGAATTATTTATGTTTTTATTCATATTTACTTGGCAAAGATATAACTATTGTATTGAAGTTTACTGATATAACTGTCAGTGAAATTTACTGATTAATATTTGAGATAAAAAAAATATTTTTTTTGTGTAGTCACTTGAACGTTTACAAGCATATGTTTCTGAAACAATACGTATTGGTACTCGATTTCATGTTCATGATTTTTCAATGTTTAGAAATATTGATGAAACATATCAAATGATGGAACAATTAGCAAATTTTGCTGCGAAAAAGTAATCGAAATCATAAAAAATTTGCCTTATAATTTTATTTTGTATTGAATAGATTATTATCAGAAAAAGGTGCTTTTCGTGAAGAAGATTTCTTTCCAGCTGTTACTAAGTATGTATATTATATAAATATGATTTTGTGAAACTCACGTAAATTTTAAGTTCAAGTTTTACAGCTCCCCTCCCTCCAGATTCAATAACAAAAAGGAAAAATCATTAAAAATAGCTATAAATTAATTGAATTTAAGCAAAAAAAGAAAACAAAGTACTTAAACGTGATCAGATATTTTGGTGCGAACATACGTGAGTTCCACATTTTTTGAGCCCCACCGGGGCTGCGCTGATAATCTTCTTTTGAGGATTCGGAAATGAATATATAAGTGGTTGATTAACATAAAAGGAAAAGAAATGAATTATTAAAAGTTTTAGAATGCAACCAAGCCTTATTTTAAGTAATAATATCTAAAAACGATTAATTGTTTGTTTTTTTTTAGAAAAACTGCACCTAAAGTAATCTCTCAATTAAAACGTGATCTTGATGCCAAAACTCGTAGTGAACTATATCAATGTCGATTTCGTTTACCAGCAACTGAACGTTTAGATGGTGAAGTTGCATGTCATTTGCATACGTCTTATAATCGTTCCAATGTGTCTGGTAAACTTTATATATCGCTCAATTTTGTGTGTTTCGCTAGTCGAGTAAGAATTAATTTATATATATATTTTTTTTTAAATAAAAAATCTGAATAGGTTTATCATCAAGTTAATTTAATCATTCCATTTCGTGATATAGTCGCTATTAAAAAACAGTCCGATGATGTAATTTTACCAGATATTGATACTCAATCTACAATAATAATAACAATAAAAGAACAAGTAAAATTTTGTATTGTAATATAAATATATATATCTTTTTTTTAATTTAAAATATTAGGCCGGAAAATTTCTATTTTTGAATTTTGTGGATCGAGAATTTGTTTATGAAAAATTATTAAATATATTATCACAATATGAAGAAGCAAAATCTGCAGATGTTGATATATCAGAAATAAGTAAATTATTTATTTGTTCTGTTTTCTTTTCAAATAATTATTCATTTTTATAGCGTTATCACCGCCACTCTATTTACAATTTAATAGTAATTATACGGAAGAACGACTTACACTTGAAAAAGAAAGAGAAACATTATGGAATATGCATTTTACTACATATGGAAGAGGTTCAACAATGTATAGAACTAATGAATTATATGAATTAATATTTCAAGGTATACCTGATTCATTACGTAATGAATTATGGTTAATATTTAGTGGTGCAATACATGATGTTAGTTGATTTATTTAATTAGAATAAAATAAATGAATTTATTTATTTTTTTAGAAAGCAGCAAATCCAAATATCTATCACAAATTAGTTCAACAATCGTCACTTGTTAAAACTTATCATGATTCAACTAATGATGAAATTGAACGTGATCTTTATCGAGCATTACCTGATCAAAAAGCTTTTCAGAATGAATCAGGTATTAGTGCATTACGAAGATTATTAAGAGCATATGCTTGTCATAATACTGATGTTGGTAAGGAATAATGTTGTTTTTTCATGTATATTTTTTATTCTAAAAAAAATTTTGTTTTTATATAGGCTATTGTCAAGCAATGAATATTATCGGTGGAGTACTTTTACTCTATATGAACGAAGAAGATGCATTTTGGACATTAGCAGCATTATGTGAACGTCTTTTACCAGATTATTATAATACAAAAGTTGTTGGTGCATTGATAGATCAAGGTATATTATAATTATAAATCTTTTTTTTTCCCAACGAGAAATTAAGTAAACGCGAGTGAATATTGATATATTCTGATAAAGTAATGGCAAGGACTCACAAAAAGTTTTAATCGATATAGAATGTCTCAATTCATTGATTCGAATATCATCTTGCTTAACCTTTCTAATATTTATGCGTATAGAAATATTACTTCTAAAATGAAAAGGGTCTACTTGTTTATTTCAGACACATAAACATGATCATAAGATGAACTCATTTATTTTATAAGGATAAAAAACATACTTATCTGCTATAGATTAATGCTACTTCTGAATACATGATAGTTTTTGAGTTATAAGTTTACAAATATAATTTATAATGATATTTATTTTCTTCTTTTTCTAAGATATTCGAACTTCAGTAAGATGATTGAAATATAAAAAAATAACAACGCTAAGCATTAAAGAGAACACATAGCATTGAAAAAAATATAAAGAAGTTCGAAAATAATGCCAGCAAGCATTTATTAGCCACCTGTTATATAATTAGTATATATCTGATTCACACTTTGCTGCATTTCACCTAATTCTTCCAAATCTTGTTTAATCCATTCTTCATTAAAACGTGTTCTTATCTGGTTCCCGGTGAACATAATTTGTTCAACCAAATTAAAATATTCGTTCATAACTTGACCACTTGGATACACAACAATATCTCGTCTCCACTGATTTATTCTTTGCCAGAGACGTATGAGTTTGTCTTTAACATCAGTTTTCGTTCGTAAAATATCATTTGTAGCCATGATGATAATAGCAATAATATTCTAAAAATAAAAAAACATCTTCCTTGTCATTGAATCGAGAGTAAACTATAATAGAATATTATTGTAAACAAAGAGAGAGTAACGGAAAAGAGTAATGTTATTCATGAACGAAACAATGTTATCCCATATAATATCCTAAATGATGATGCACCTGATGCTTCTCTTGTTGTATATACGCTCGTATCTGCGTCCCCATGAAATAGCTTGGACAATGCGACACGAAGAGAGAGTGAGAGTGAGAGAATAAGAGAGAAAAAAAACGAAGGATAATAAAAAGAATAACCATATTCCACATGACGAGACCGCTCACATCTAGGTTACGAGAAAATAGCTTGGACAATGCTACTAGAAAGGAGAGAGAGAGAGAAAGAGATGAAAACGAAGGATGCTAAAACAAAGCATGTTCTGCGTTATTCTGCGTGGATTTATGTTGACATTCGCGTCTTTATGTATAAGGTGAACTCTCCAAGCAGACCAGAGAGAAATAAAAGGAAAATAATTAAAAAAAAACATGCTCTACACTTTGCATTCTCAAAGTAAATCTGCGACAAATATTTATATCACAATGACTAGAAATTTTCTTAATATCTTTCCATTGAAGAACTATATTAACTATTTTAAATAATTTATCCTATATTTATTAAAAAATTACCAATCAGATAAAAACTGATGGATATTTGTATTAATATATCTTCTTATCGTAATATTTATTGTATTACAAAAGACCTTTCATATATTTATGCATATAGAAATATTAATTTCAAAATCAAAAGAGTTTACTTGTTCGTTTCGGACACACAAACATGACCATTAGATGAACTAATTTATTTTATAAAGATAGAAAACATACTTATCAACTTCTGAGCACATCGTAGCCTCTGAGTTAGAAAGTTAAAACTATAATTTAGATTATTTTTTATTTTGTATTTTGCTGGGCTATAAAAATTTCAAGAATATAATGAGAATATTTAAAGAAAACAACGTAAATCCCCGAAAAAAAAGGAACAAAGTTCGAAAAATAATGCCACCAAATATTTATTAGACATTTGTCATATAAACAATAACGGATTCACGCATAATTTTCAGCATTTGATCTAATTCTTTGTCACACTTCTGTTCAAATTCCACACATTCTGCTTGTTCTTCTGGATCTAGATTAACCAATTCTTGATTAATACGTGTTTCTAACCAGCACCTTAAGATCGTAATACTTTCAACCAAGCCAATTAAGACCTTCATATTTTCAACTCCTAGTTGCATATCCATTTCTCTTTTCCACTGATTCATTTTTTGCCAGATATTAATGGTTTCTTCTTGAACAATATATACTGTTTGTAAAAAATGATCACTGGTCATAATGATAATAGAAACAATATTCTAAAAATAAAAAAAACCATCTCTCTTGTTATTGAATTAAACGTCAACTACGATAGAATATTATTGTCAATACAAACGTTACACCTAATGCCTATAAAGCAAATACTATCATACAATACCTACTATAAGAAATAGTAATGTTGCGTCTATTCTGTTTATATACGAAATCCTTAATAAATGTAGAAGGAACAGCAAACTCGAATCCGAGAAAAAAGTATTTTCGATGTGTATAGTTACGAGCGGAAAATGAACTATATGGAGCATTACTTACTATAAAAATGTAACAGAATAATATCTACTTGTCTGCCTTTATAGTAAAGTTAAAAGAGGGAGAGAGAATAAATATATAAAATAGGCAAACGACTTGTTCACGCATAATGAGTCACGAGCGAAAAATGAATATATAAAACAATTTCTAGTATGAAAAGGTAACAGAATCATATCTACTTTTTGTCTTTACAGTAACGATAAAAGAAGTAGAGAAAAAAAATATA